GCCACAGCCTGGTAGATAATTGTTCCCAATTTAGTATTTTCTGCCACAGTCACTGTGGGTTTTGTGTCCACAAATACCGGTGGCTGATCGTTCGTGTCCAATACGATCACTTTGATCGTTAGGGTACCTGTGTGACGTGTCCTGTATGAAACACCAACGGTTTCACTGCCAACCACGGGCAGAGGCCATAAAGGAGATGATTCAAATTCCTCCAGCCCGTCAGTGGCTATCAAAATGAGGTAGTGTATCGCCTGCTTTTCTCGATCCAAATCACTATCTACGCGCAAATTTAACTTGAACTTTGGACCCAACAGGGCCGTATTATCAACCACTTGACTTTCTAGGCTGAACAAGTAGGAGTTTTGTTGTGCTGGAATCTGCAAACCGTATGATCCGATGGATTCCCGATCGGGACACTGGACGCAACGCACTTGGGAGGTTTGTGGGTTATAAACAGCTGGAAATAAACGATAACTGACCACTGTGTTGGCCGGTTCTTGATCGGGATCAGTGGCCTCTGGAAGTTTGTATAATGATCCAATTGGAACGTGTTCGGGGATTTCCAGATCCAATACTGGTTGAGACCATCTGGGTGGATTATCGTTCACGTCAACTATGTACACGACGATCTCGATTAGTTGTTCTGAACTGGGATTCTGAAGCACAAGCATGCGAAGAAAGCAGTTCAGAAATACAGGTTCTGGTAATTTTGAATTCTGTACAGCTCGAAATTGCGGCCGCATTGTGTTGCTCTCATCCATATTATGGACGCTGGATGCACAACATGTTCCCACATCGCGACACAAAGACTCACGATCAATACGTGACTGAACAAACAAATCTCCGCTTGTCCCATTCAAACCAAGATATTTATTCGACTTTAATTCTAGTAGTTGTGCACCAGAGGCAAAACCACGTTTTATGGGTGCATTCGTATTTTGGAGACTATGCAATACATTACCGATCCTCGTACCAATCGGTGTTTCCTCCGTCAAAACGAATGTCACACGAAGTGCTTCGGTTGAGCCGGAATGAAATGTTCTTCCCGGATCGGACTGCTGCTGCGGATCTGGTCTAACGCAGGAAGGAAAAGAAAGCACAATAATCCAGAATATCACAGATAGCCAGGAAGTTGGTGAAGCGAGATTAACTAATTCATGACAAACCAATCCATCCTGAGAGTACTGTTTTTCACTTGATCCACGTCTACTGACCATCTCGGTTCTATACAATCCCAAATCTAAATTCAGCCATGCTGACCGTTTGATAAAATGTGAAGGGAAATTGCTCCTTCGTAAGAGGACCTATATGAAATACCCTCCATCTGTTCAATGGCCGGTACTGGATGAAATTCCCATGGACCGGAAAGTTTCTGTCTTGCACTGGACCAATCAAAATTCAGGTGCAATCTGATTGGTTTATCCTATCTAAACACGAGACGAACCAACACGCTTCGGAATATTTAGAACATGGATGTGTTTGATGCTCCAAATTTACACTCTTTGTTTTTAAAAGATGATTGCAGTATTAATGTTACGGTTCCACAAGACGGTGCCTGATCGACGATTGTTGTTTATTACAGAATACAGTTCAGATATCGATAATATGGCATACATAAAGCAGGATATCTCATTTTAAACATGTCATCACGATTACCGGCAGCACGCAGGGTAATGAATGGAACAGTCGGTAGTTATTATCTGGAGCAAAGTAAATCGTTTTAAATGGTCTTATTCATTTTTGACCGTTGAAAGAAACCGCCAATTGCATTATTCTGAATACTGCTCGTAAATGTGAGTAGTACCTCACACCACTGGTAGCACACTGTTATTGCACAATCAGGTCAATGATCCGTTATTCTGCAAATGAATGTGCCCGGGATTGCGATAATCAGATTCATTCGACATGTAAAGTTTGAAGTTAGATTGCTTCAGGTTAAGGATAACAATGCGACTATGCAGAATTAAATTTAACTGTCAGCCAACCGTGCCATGAGTTCTGACATGAAAACTCCTCAAAAGTGACATGATACCAAAATCGGTTTTTGAACGTTTGGTTCTCGAGACAAAAACAAAACGAATGATGAAGGAAATTGCATAAGGGTAGTTATATACTGGCTCGTAATAACTTGCATGTAGCCATGACACCGTTTGCCAACAGTGTTTTTTTTTGCTTTTGGTTTGTTTCCTAAAGAATAAAACTATGCATGACAAGATGTTTCATTGAAATCAATGAGATTCAAAAATTCTGTAAGCTTTCTGATAACCGACATTTTCTAAGTAAGTTTGATTTTAAAATTCTCGATGGGATATATATATATATATACATGATTCATAAATATATGAAATCTTTTAGTACAGCGGAAATAATGATGTAATACCCAGCTTGTTTCAGATATTTGAGGCTCTCTGACTAACCACAGTAAAACACTATAATCAGTGTAATAATATAAATAATAAAAATAATAATACTGGCAATGGAATTTGAAGAAGTAACTACGTTTCGTTTGGTATGATGACCCTAATAGATTATTGCACGACAACAACGCACAGAACGATAATCGGGTCATAGTAACCAAAGGATAAAATGAACTTACTTGAGCAAGATCCTACTGGTGCTGGACACATCATTACCGATTGACAGCAGGCCTTAAATAATTGCACAACTATGTTTTTTCTTCAATAAAAATTCAAATACACTTCAATTTTATCGATCAATGTAATTCCGGATGGTTCAACTCCCCCTTAGATCTCTTTCTATAAAACGAACCCAAATATTTTATGGTAGACTACCTAAAACGGGATCGTTTGTAAGTTAAAAATAGGATTTCATTGATAATAAAATTGTTTCGGTCAATCCTACAATATTTGGTGGCACTACCTGGATCACAAGCATATCAAAATCATTTCCCCTGTATGTGGTTCAAAATTGTTGTGAGAGACCATTGAATATAATATTGTTTACTGGTTTGTTTTATCAATAGGAGTAAAAGCCACCTGAGAGTCCATTTTATTTGAATAACACTGAAAGTTGTCATACGGTGGTTGTCTGCGTTTTGTTAAATTTTCTATCTGTTCTTTAACCAAATTGTCATGCTGGGTATTAAAAGCATAGGGTAGATCGTAGGACCGAACAAAATGCAACAATAAAATTTCAAACAAGACCAAACTAGCAATTTTCTAATTTTATTCCATTCGTTGAGTAAAATAACTGAGAAATTATTTGAGAGAACAATATCCTCCATGGTTACTGGAATGTTTGACTAATTTTGTTCTTTCCGTGAACACTGACCCCATTCTCACCATTTGTGTTGCTCTAGGTAATTGTAACCTCAGTTGCTACGTAACAAAGTTATACAAAAATGAGTTGCGTTCCTGTCCCACATTTTTACTTAAGATGCCTGGATTTGCCTACAGTGTTGTGAGTTCTCGATTCAATATTCCCGGAGATTGGGTTTGGCAGAAACGGAATTCAAGATTGTATCATGTGATTATGAATGCTATTCGCGATTAGCGTTCGAAAGCAACAACTTGATGAGAACGAGGGGATCGCAATCTGCGCGAATAGTAAGTTCCAATTTACTTATCTGCTGTGACGACAAAAGAATATATTAACTCATTCCGCTAGATTTTCATTCTGTGCTTTCTTGATGAAGAAAATTGGGCAAAGGTGGATTATGCGTGATCGATTTGGTGTATTCCGCTTGGCAGTAGATTTTTTCTACGTGTAAAATGCATTCGTTCTGGTAATGATGAGTTGTAAAGTTACAAATCAAGTGAACTCAATTATTGGTTCAGAAATAAACTTTTCCGTTTTCCTTCTTAGTAATTGAATTTTGTCAGATTTTCAGTATATTTTTTCATTATTTAGAGATTTGTTTACACCAATTAGGTGACCTCTTCATCAAGTGCAATTCTGGAAGAAACTTGAGTGATTCCTGCGATATTTCAGCGGAACATCCGGATTAAGGTTGATCTATATGCCACTACGTTGTACGAAAAATAATGGGCACATCAAGAATAACGTTTTGGATTTGAGAAAAAAACTAATTCCTAGTTAACCGAAAAGAGAGTCAATTGTCTGGCTCCAAAAGCATATACCTAAGTAGTCCTGGCTGGTTCATGTAGGCGAAATTAAATTCGTTCTAAGATTTGGTAAATATTGTTCACTGGCTGCTCAAATACTGTTTGTCAGTCAATGCGGATGGATAAAACGCTGGAAAATGGTGGCACTAAACACAACACAGTTAATTGTTCACAGCGTAGAAGAAATCAGTTGTACTCTTTTTTGATCAATTTTGGCAGCCCGTATTTGGACTAAAACGACTTGTACGTGTACGCTATCTAAATTGCATCGATCATCTCCATGACAACAATCAGATGAGTTCAATTAAAACCAATGAATTTGACTCATACCTGTGTATACCATACAAAATTTACTAGATTGGTTACAATGTAATTACTCTATTCCATTTCTCTGAACGAAATTTCTGCACTCTTCTAAGTACAACTTACCAGATATCCTTGTTATTCGACGACACCAAAATGTGGAGGAAGGTACCATATCCTGGATATTATGAAACCCTGCATGAAGCTCTCGACGCGGCTTACCGATGGTCAATTTTATTGACATGGAATACAACGTTGAGAAATTCAAGTTTATACTGCTGCGCCACATGAGTCGCTTTCCATACTTATTTGGAAATAAGCACTTACCGCGTTCGCCAAATGAAATTGACCTGGGAACTATCGTTCGTGAGGATCCACGATGTTCCACACTTTGCGCAAGACCATAAAACACGTTCCATTGCTAAAACGTGTTTTTGATCATTCGAAACAGACCTATTGCCCCGTTTACGATCAGCATACGTAAGACCACACACCGAGTGTGCTATACAGACTCGGAATCCATAGCTGATTTGCGACCAAAAGACACCCAAACGTCCGCAGAGAACAGCAACCAAAATGGTTAAACGATTAAAATCTAAGACCTACGGTGGAAGGTTGCGAATTATCGGACTCTATACGTCTGAATACTGTCGAATACGGGGAGGCGTGATCCTCGTATATCAAATACTACATCAACCTAACTACCCGTGTAGTACTCCACAAACACTATCCAGGAATGTTCACATCCGAGGACATCCGTTTAAAAGTTTGCTCCAAAAGAGTCGGCTAGACTGCAGGAGTTATCCTTTCAGCCTCAGAGTTTATAACACTTGGAACTCTCTTCCAATTCAAGTTGTTTGTGCACCAACCATCGATTCATTCAAGTCACGACCACGATGAAGCATTGAAACACCAAACTTTTAGTGAACGTGATAATTTGCAATTTAATTGTACTACCAACCGAACCCAGTGTGTACAGATCCTATGGGATTCAATAAGCATCAGCTTTGTAATTTACCCATAATGAAAATTTCAATTTGAATTTCATCGAAATTATTTAAAGATCCATGGGTATCACTATTCAAATAATCCACTTCATTCACAATTCACAGCTCAGTTTTCCGTTCGCGACCGTTTAACATGCGTGCGTGTGTGGAAGTGTGCGTTAACAACACGAACTGATCACAATCTGGACTTGAGAAATTGTCTCCCACAGATTATGAGCTAGAAACTGGTCCCCTCCCTTCCTGGCCGACTGCTACACGCAATACAACTTCTCGTCTTCAAGGCGTTTTTGGTTACTATGCCTCCTATTGCTCGCCAGTAACTTACATATTAAAGTGAGCAACGCAGACACGCTTCGATAGTGAATCATGTTTCTTAAACGAAATAACCCTCATTCCACCAAAAGTAAGAACGCTCCACAAATAGAATTCTCAGAAGAACGGGTACTATTGGTAAAAATCAGATTAGTTCAATCTATCAACTGTTTCTACTTCAAATAGATTGCGAGCGGAGTGAAACAACTGATTTTCATCATTTTCTCCAAGAAAAAGTGTTTCTGAAAGCCACCACGAAAATCAATTATCCTCATACAGTAACACGGTCTGAAAAACTGGAAAATAATTATTCACAGCAGTCGAGAAGACCATCCACAACTGGCCCCACCACACTGTTCCAGGGAAAAACTCAAATGAACAAAATAAGCCAAAATTATAAATAATAAGAGGCAGTTGACTTTTTATTTGCCTCAGGGCGATTTGTGAGGCCGAGATATTCTGCAATC